TTTGAGTAATCACTACAGTAAATACGGAAATTGCTGTTTCGAGAAAAACGCGTTTAAAGATAAAAAGATCGTTTTCACTCGTAGCTAATGAGACTCTCTAGCTGCCGAGCGGCTGCTCTTTAAATTGCTATAACTCAAAAACTATTTGAGATATCGATTTAAAATTTTAATATGTTCTTTTTAAAAGTGTAATCTACCGAAATATGCTAACATTAGAATGTGAGATGGTGGAACGCGCTCAGCTGCAATTTGAGTGATTTTGAATAAGTTTCGTATCTAGTCATCTTTGACATGGGACAAAACCGTATTCATCACGGTGATTGATCGATGGTATTGAACGAGTTTTCGGTCTTAAAATCACTCCCAACTACAGCAAAGGAGCATTATCGTCATAAAAGTTTCCTGAAATTGTTAGCGACGGATGTTTCCGCCAAACGCCTCAAAACGCTCAAATAACACTCTTAATTGACCGTCTCTTCCGTGGGAACGTGTGAATTTATAATGAACAACCCGCGAATATCGGAAAAAAGCGATATCCGGAAACTTTCTGGTCTTAATGTACATATAATTTTTCACCACAATTTCCATCAATTTGGTGCCGTATGTCAGCATTGACGCGCGGAATATTCTCCTCCAAGACGTCGGGCTTATCTGTGTAGACAAACAACTTCACATAATGCCACAAAAAATAGTCCAACGGTGTTAAGGGGTAAAGCTCCTCTAGTTTTTGGAAAACGCGCTTTTTTTTGCTTTTTGGCAAAGCGAGTATTATCGACAACTGGAAATAAGGCAAAGCGGGGATTATCGACAACTGGAAATAAGGCAGAGCTGCAGGGTTCCTTTAGGTTTTGCAATTGGTTTTAAAGTGAAAAAAAAATATTTAAAATAACTAAAATTTTTATTTTACATGCGCTGAATGCAATGAAAGCTTTAAGAGCGTTTTTCAATATCGCACCTTTCAAACTGGGAGAACAGGTTATACATGCCCTATTGCATCGATTTATTTGAAATTTTGATTTTGGCTACACAAATACATACTTTCGGAAGTATGTAGCCGTTTTTCAACAAAATGTAAATTTTTTTTAATAATTTAGTGCGTATTTGTTAGTCATAATCAATCTAAAAAGAAAATTATCGCTTTGACAAAAAATATTAAAAAAATAAATTTGTACGTACTTCCAGAGACCATAGTTTGTTGATCATAAAACTTTTTGTTTTTATGTTTTAGGTCTCATATTTTAGTAGAAATCGGCCATCTTTTGGATGTCCTTCAAAAAACATGAATTCAGTAATGGACTTTATCACCGCCATTTTGTAACAAAATAATAATTAAAGAATATTTTTTTATACTTCAATATACATATGTTCAATGAAATGGTTAAATTGAAATCCTATTGTATTTCTTTTCTCCATATTCCTACAATAAATAAAAAAAAAAAAACAGAATATATTTTTCAGCCACTAAAGTGGCTTTACCCTTTAAGTAGCACGATCTTTGAGGCCACGCTACTGTTCCACGACGCAAGATAATGCGCTCACCAAAAGTTGCCTTCAAAAAATCGATTTTTTTTTAAATAAACTCCATAATTTCACTCCTTACTTTTCACTTTCCGAAATGGTGAGCATTTTACATCCAGCTTTCTCTTTTTAGTCATTTTTGATTTAATCTTTATATTATTTTATAAAAAGTAAAAATGTTAAAAACGCGCACCAGCTGACGCTCAATGGCTGTCTGAATAGTGATGGATAATTTGGCGTTTTTACTTTTTTGGATATTCTTCTTTCAGATCAGCGAGTATTCTTGCTTATGCTCTTTTAATTCATTGACGGCTGGTGATTGCTAATTTTTTGTTCGAATAGAGCTATTATCTTCATACATATATTTGTGTACACTTTAAAAAAAATTAATTTCTAGTTTTCCTTTTGGAGGGGAAACGTAACCAGTTGTCTTGCAGACAGATCGCCTATTGGCAGACAAGAGCTAGCAAGCAGACATAGACGACAATAAAAGACTATAGAAAATTTGTGGACACAATGCGTACATTGATAATGCGGTTTTCAAGCAATGAAAGGTGAAAGCATTTCATTCGTTTATCTTTCTTGTTTTTTTTTTTTTTTTTTGAAAGAAAAGTCAAGTATGACTACATATATGTATATCGACTGTTTATTCTCTTAGTTAATGTAAACTTTTTCTTTTTTTCATTTAATTTCAGATTTATCTATATTTTTATAGATATGTATATACATAGCTATATGGAAATAATAGGAAATGAATTTCTAATTTACGATAAGAAAGTATGGCATACACACATACATATGTATATATGTAATGTGTTTAAAGAGACCTTACTAACAAAACGAGCCTCGCTTGATACAAATATTGTGAATAACTAGAATTTACAATATACATGCATACACGTACATACATATTATGTACCTTTATATTTATGTATAGTTGAGTTATTAAATGCTTAGACCACACTATCTTGGGTTATATATATACAACGAAAAAACTTCTCATATACATATTTATGCGATATTCCCCAGTTCAGTTCTTTTTTGAACTTGCATAGGTATTTCATGTTTGTGTTCCAGTTTGTGTATTATGCCCATCTTGTATATTTCTTTGCTTGCAACTCACTGTCTCTATTAGTGTTGTTGTTGTTGTTGTTGTTGACCATGCAGCTTACTTCCAGGAATTTGTTCAACTCAATGCATCACAGGTATTTCCACTTGTATACCTTCCCGCAAACGAACTCACATACATACATATGTACATATAAGAATATGTGTTCCAACAATAAGAACTCTTAAGTGATCAATTCCTTAGTAAAAACAGAAGGTAGAAAGGTAGCAAATATAAGATGGAAGTAAAAGAACAAACTAAAGATAAGAAAAGATATGGGCTTTAGATGCACTCATGGGTTGCCAACCTTTGGAGAATATGTTGAATGAAAATAATTTTTTTTATATTTTATAATATTTTACAATTAAAATTTTAAGTTATAATAAATTAAATTTTTTTTTTGCAATAATCATATTATTTTATTTTTCTATTTTATGAATAATTTATTGAGTAATAAAATTTTAAGGATAATTTTGGTCATACATATGTATGTACTCATTTATTTGTCTTATAAAAAAATATTATTTTTGCATTAAATTGGAAAGTTTATTTCCCATACTACGAATTATCCGCTTAACGCACCGTTTTGATCATAATTTTTCACCCTTTTGAAGCTTCTCTCAGGAAACACCTTCCCTCTTGGCAAAGAACTGAGACAATCGATTTTCATTGGCTTCTCTTGAAGTTTGTAATTTTCAAGCTAAATCCAAAAGCATTTGATAATCACTTGGTGCGGGGTTTAGCCTATAATGTAGGTGCCAAGCTTTCGGAGCTTTTGAGGAATCAGTATCAGAATAGGCGCTCTGCTGTTGTCCTGTTAAATCACAATTCACCTCCTGTCAGCTGGGTGTATCTCAGCAATTGCTGGTTGTAAATTCATGACTTGGGGATCATTTGGGTCGGCTCTGACTATGGCCATTTTTATTTGATGTTGCTGCATGTGATCCACTTTTCATCACCAGTCCGCATCTGCTTCAGAAATGGGTTGATTTTTACGATTACAAAATATCATCATTCTAAACTCATCTAACGTGATCTAAGCGCAGTTATAGCAGTGAGATACAGATAACTGGATTATTTTTTACCAGGCCTAATATATCCGACATTTAGATCAATCCCTCTGAAAGGTGTTGCGAAAAACGATTTTTGGTAATATTTGAATTATTGAGAAACTGCCAAAAATATGTAGCATCAAAGTTTTTGTTTAACTTTCTTGTATCTGAAATAATATATTAACTTGAGTTGTGAAAATTTTAAGTAATAGAAAAAGATGAAATAGACCCATAAAATTTTTTACCTATGGTATCCGAGCAGACCTGATTTAGCCATGTCCATATGTCCGTCTCGAATCGGCCTTATCGGACCATAATTTTGAGATTTTTGGACATAAATCTGTCTATATAGCATCTAAGAGCGGGAGTTTCATATACGATAGGTGCTGAAAATGATCGAAATCGAAAAACTTCATCATATAGCTCCATCCACATGAAATTCATATTCAATCCCAAAATGAAATTCCATAAATTTTGTATAGCCAAGAGAGGTATGAAACCTTGATTAAAATACATCACTTTAAAATCTACATATATATTTTTCAAAATTACTTCAAGATTTAAGTGACAGGGGTAACTAATAGAAATAACTGGTAGCACATTTTTCAACAAAGCTATTTCTTACCCTCAACATATGGCAACACCATTTCACAATTCTAACCAAATCCTGTTCTTGCAACATCAACGAAAGACAGGTAAACGTAGCAATGTACAACAACATTCCTATCTTACCAACATACAGACGTACACACTTTACATGACACATAGACATATATACATAATGCATTGAAGCCGCTTGCAACATTAAGACAGAGATGTTCAACATACACACTCAACATCCACAAAAACCCTTTTGTGGGTAACGACTCAACTCAAAAACTGGACTAAAATGAGTTTGCATCTGCGAGATACATTTCCAAATGAGCATCATTTAGACGAGTTCGATATTAAATACACACACATATACAAAAATTATGCTGGAGAGCGCACTTCATGTTTTTTGCGTTAGTACACCGCTGGCCGAGCGCATTAATAAGCCGAGCTTTAGCGACTTTGAACCAAAAACTGACTTGCGGAGCGGAGCGACAAAGCATACAGCAGCTAGCCACACACACACACACATACACACACAGATACCGTACTTTATTTACATATTTATGTATGTGCAGGTGAGGTTTTTCGGTCAGCTGTAGAATTTTAACGCACACCAATGCACGAACGCACCACTACTAACGCATATCGCATACAAGCCACTCAATTTTCTACTCAACTCAGCGACGAAACTCCATGAAACAGCGACGCGCAATATGCCGTCTACGGTTACTACAGCAATTTCTTGCCATATCTTTGTATCAGCGTCCGCTTGTGCTCGCCGTCAACCAAACAGTTTTAATTTTCTATTCGAAGTGTACGCTTTGTGCCGCGGTGCAACGGCGTAATTATCACACAGTGTGAATTGTGTTCAAGTGGACAGACAAAAGCGGTGTTGGATCTGCATAGGGTCAAGCCAAAATAATAATAATAAATAACAACAAAGATAACGAGCAGGGCAAGCACACGACTCAGACAGTGGGACAGTGAGACAGTGAGACAGCGAGACATTTCGCCACCACCCGTCCCATCCGACGTATGAAATGCAAGTGTGCAAATGTTTATTGGTAAACAATCAACAAACAAAAGTTTTTAAGTATAATTTTCAGTGATTATCAATGCAATAATCTAAACAAAAATCCATTAGTGCCGAAACGATAAATAACGCAACAAAAAAAAAAAAAAGAAAAAAGAGAGAAAAAAGAGAAACATGAAAATCTCATGAAATAAACAGATTTTGTGCTGTGACAATTGAGAAAATGCAGGAAACAATTTGAAATGATTTGATATCGGAGCAAATTCTGTAGTGACTCTGTATAAAAAGCTGTGTTATGCGCGTGGAAACTGATTTCCGAAATTTACTACTACTGATCGTCACTGCCACAAACACAACGAGCACTCGGCCTAGCCACAGAGCAACGTCAATGAGTTGTGTGAAAGTATAATTGGGTTGAGAAGGAAAAAGCAGAAAAGATTGCAAAAAAAAAAAAGTAACAAAAAATAACAAACAAAACGCAAACCGCAATAACAAACGAATACTGAAATTCACGAAACGAGAAAAGAAAATATTACCGTTACGCGCGTACAGTTTACTGCCTTTTTTTTCGTAAACTTGCAACATTCCCGTATTAACCTTACCTTAGAACAATTCAAATACTAACATAAGTTGTCCGCGTAAACCGTCAAAATGTTTGATGTATTCGGCTCTGTTAAGGGGCTGCTGAAGATCGATCAGGTCTGTATCGATAACAATGTCTTCCGCTTGCATTACAAAGCGACGGTGATCATATTGGTCGCCTTTTCGCTGCTCGTGACCTCGCGTCAGTATATTGGTGATCCCATCGATTGTATTGTCGATGAGATACCGCTTGGTGTTATGGATACCTATTGCTGGATATACTCTACATTTACCGTACCGGAACGTTTGACTGGTATTACCGGTCGTGATGTTGTACAACCTGGCGTCGGTTCGCATATAGAAGGCGAGGATGAAGTTAAGTATCATAAATACTATCAGTGGGTTTGCTTCGTACTCTTCTTCCAAGCCATTATGTTCTACGTGCCACGTTATCTCTGGAAATCCTGGGAAGGTGGTCGCCTAAAGATGCTTGTCATGGATCTCAATAGTCCGATTGTGAATGATGAATGTAAGAATGATCGTAAGAAAATATTGGTGGAGTATTTTATCAACAATTTGAGTCGTCACAACTTCTATGCATTCCGTTTCTTCGTTTGTGAGGCTTTGAATTTCATCAATGTTATCGGTCAGATATTCTTTGTGGACTTCTTTTTGGATGGTGAATTCTCCACATACGGCAGTGATGTATTGAAATTCACCGAAATGGAACCCGACGAACGTATCGATCCAATGGCGCGTGTCTTTCCCAAAGTCACCAAATGTACATTCCACAAATACGGTCCATCCGGTTCGGTGCAAAAGTTCGATGGGCTCTGTGTGTTGCCATTGAATATTGTCAATGAGAAAATCTATGTATTCCTATGGTTCTGGTTCATCATTTTGAGTATATTATCTGGTATTTCATTGGTTTATCGTATGGCTGTTATAATTGGTCCAAAACTACGTCATCTGCTCTTGCGTGCCCGTTCCCGTTTGGCTGAGAGTGATGAGGTCGAGACGGTGGCAAACAAATGTAATATTGGTGATTGGTTCCTACTGTATCAGTTGGGTAAAAATATCGATCCATTGATCTATAAAGAAGTGATATCGGATTTGGCGACTGCTGTGGGCGATAATGAGAGTAGCAAGCAACCATTCGATGCTTAGATACTGATGGCCGGCAATGGGTGAGTACAATAATTATGAGGGATATAAAAATTTATAATATGCATATGTTGATAAGAGCTGGATTATTTTAGGAGCATTTTTTGTATATATAATAGCTTGAGAGCCTGGATTATTGTATTTTAAAAAGTATGTAAGCTCTCTATAGCGATTTGCTTTATCGTCACGTAATTCAATCATAAAATGACTTCTTAAAAACACTATGCTAACGATAGTAAATGGTATATCATGTTTGTTAAATGTTGATTTTTTGTGACCCTAACATTTGTTTTACTTTTAATTGCACTGTCTCTAAAACTAGACTGTAAAACGTGTCGAGGATGATTCCAATTTCATAAATTGTTAGGTAAGGTATTTTTATATACGAATTGTTTTTGTGTCGAGAAATGTTGGTTCAAGAAATCTTGAGATGTTGTTGAGACGGTGTTGAGATAGTGTTGAGAATTACATTTATAGGTCTAGACAAATTTTTCCCACTTATACATATAGTTGGAAGTTGATATATAATATAAACACTGTATTCACTGAATCCCAAAACGAATGATAACTCAGCTCAGTTTAAAATATTTTGCCCATAAAAAATTTTACATTAAAAATTCAATTGAAAAAGTTATAATTGAAACCTTATAGTAATTTTTTGATTAAAGGTCATTCACAATTTTTTTTTGTATCACAGCAGTATTTATTAAAATATAAACATTCGTTCAGACATATTTTTATTTTTTTCAGTTCTTATTTGAAGTTTAATCTAAATAAAATATGTACATAGATATGTTGCTTGTAATAATTATAAATATTATTTCAAAAAATTTAATTTTCATTAATCTTATAAAAGATTATTTTAAAAAAAATTCATTAATTAAAATTTTAAATATTTACGCGTTTCTTAAACAAAAATGCGTCTGGTTAGTACTCAAAAGTGAGTAAAGTAATGTATGTCGCGGTCAAAAAGCGAACAACCAAATATTTCCTTAATAAATAAAGCCTCGCAAATGTCCATATGTAAATGCAGACATACACACGCACAATAATACTAAGTAAGAGTGTACAAAATTGACGCTCAATTATTTTAAATATCAAAAATTGTATAAAAAATACATATACATAAGATTTGATTTTCAATGTGTCACTAACACACGCATAGTGTGATACGCAGCACGCACACAAGCAACAGTACATACATACATGCAGACATACAGTTGTAATTGCAGAGACAAAAGAGTCACCCCTGGTGTTACGCAAAACGGTTGCTCTGGCGTTGATGACTCTCCAGCTTAACAGCTGGATAACTCCAATGAGGGAAATAAATTTTATTGAGAGTTTGTGCTTTGTTGTTGTTGCTGCTTCTGCTGTTTTTGTTGTTGTTGAGTGAATAACGAGTGCGAGTGAGATTTTTTTAGAGGTGCTTCACAAAAATTTTTTTTATTATCATTTATTTATATTATCTTTAATTGTATTATATTTTTTTTTAATACTTATTTTTTGATTAATGAAGTATTTTATTCAAATTTTCTTCTTCTGCTCATTTTAAACATTTTCTTTTTTCTTTGAATTTACAATAAAAGTTTGTTTATATTTTTTTTATATTGTTTTGTATAATATTTGTTTATTTTTGCGCCTTTAATTTTATTTTTAAAGTAGAAGTTTAGTATTTTTTCTCGTTTTATTTACTAAATTATTATTTTTCAATGTATGCATATATTACGTATTGCTTATTTTTTTTTTAAATATTTAAACTCTCTTTTTAATAATTGTCTTTTCATTTTTTATAACTTTTTTAGTTTTGCATTTATAATTTTATTATTAATTCATTTTCCTCTTAAAATGTTTTATTAATTATTTATTTTATTTATTTTTTCCATATCGACATACATACATTTTTAGTTTATGCCTTTTAAATTTTTATATTTTGTTATTATTATTTAGTATTTCTTTAATTTATTTTCATTAATTTTTCTTCAAGTTTTTTTTTCGTTATCCTCATTTCATTATTATTTTATTAGTTATTTTTTCGCTCAACTTTTCGCTTTTCGCATTCATTATTTTTTGCATTTACATTGCGTGCATATACGTAGATAAATATATGTATGTATTTGCATTTACTTGCCATATTTAAGGCACTTTGGCCTCTCACGCCAATGACGCCAGACGTGTTTCCTGCGCAGCTACCATCATCAGTTGGCCGTAGAACCTCTCCTTAAGCCATCAGCTGCTGCTTACGTCTTTCATTTACTCGTCCGCGGTGGTGTTTATTGCAAAAACTTGCAATTACTAATGCGCTGCAATAATCACCGCCGCGCATGCGCATTGACTTCACTTCGAATATAATGGTGGTCGTTGCTGTTGTTGTTATATTGTTTGGCCGCTTGGTTGCTACGGCGCAGTGAACCCGAACAGCATTACCCACCTACCGACTTACTCGTGCGCTGCGCTTTGGTATATTTTTTATAATCATGTTCATAAGCACTTATGCATCTTATGTATGTATGTATGTATGTATGTATCATCCAATACCAGCAGCAGCTCGCTCGATACGCGGCAGTAGTGATAGTTTCCTGCAACTGCAACTTTTATTTTCCAACTACTTACTACTCATGGCTTACGTCTTACGGCTCACGGCTCACCGCTCACGCTCTGCCTAAATTATACCCAAGCAATTTGAATTTATTGGTGGCACTTAAATATGCAGAGTTGCATTACGCGCATACAGGCAAACATAGTACATACATACACGTAGGTATATGTACGTAAATTTTAAAATTATTTATAGGCAATCGCCACTTGGCCACTCGGCTTGTTACAATACATACAGGCTGTTGTCTTCCATTTGTGCATTTGCTTGAGTAGTTTGTGTGAAGCGCTTCAGTGCTTCAGCGATGGTTTGCTGGTTCGTTGTTTCGCTGGCTTCGCTGGCTTCTTTCTTCAATGCTTCCTCTTCTTCCTCAACTACCTACCATGCTGCTGAAATATTCTGTTTCCATGTGAAATTCGTCTCATAGCTCAACTATGGCGGTACGCGTTGTTCTTCACCTTTATCCATATCTGTATGCATGCACACGGGTAGGTATTTATATGTACAAGTATTTGTGCTGTAAAACTGGTTTTACTGGCTTGTTTAAATTTTTTGAACATTTTTCACTCTTCATGGTATACAAAAAGCAGCAAAAAATTCCAACAAAATGAAAAAAAAAGATTTGTAGCAACAAGTTCATGGCTCTATGGATGTTCCAATTCGTAGCGTGAAAAATAAAACTAACGAAATAAAAAAAAAAAAATAAAAAGTAAAATCATGAAAAAACTAAAGCAAGTGGCATGAAATAAAAAAAAGAATATTTTCTTATGCAAATGTCGCTGAGCTTGTTTTGTGTATAGTAACTATTGAGTGTATAAAGGGTTTGAATGGTAGAAAAATGCAAACGACGCTCAGCAGACAGGTCTTAAGAAGCTAGTTATGCATAAATAAAAGGCACACATACTCATATGAGTATATAGAGATATTCCTACATACTTACATATATGTATACTTAACAAGTTACTTAAAAGAAACCTGTCGGAAGAGCAACAAACGCCATATTTTCCTCACCTTAAGTACGTGTACATACATAGCAATATAAATAGTTATACATATACTCACGTGTCTTCATATATACACATATTTTGGCCACTCTTTCACTAAATACATATAAAAAATACATACGTATTTATGTTCCAGTATTTCTCCACATATATGTAGGATTCGCTGGATATCAAGTGCTCGGCAGCTACCTGTGTTCAGCAGTCAAGCCAATTCGTCTGCTTTATTGTTATTATTATTTTTTTTTTGGCTATCCAGTTTATCTAGCAGCAGCGTTGAAATGTACGACCCCATTATGGTCTTTTCAACTTTTTGTAATTTTTACTTACTTATATTTTTCGCCTTTCCTCAAAAAAATGCCATTAATATGCGAAGGTGTGAAACTAAAATAAATTTAATTTTATGTATTTTTTTGTTTTTTTAATGGTTCCTTTTTTAAATAAATTTATTAAGTTCATGAGTGTTATTATTCTTTTTATTCTTTTATCTTTGAGTCGATTTGAATAACAGGTTCTTAATGGCATTAATGGTCGTTTATTTGATTTTGTGTAGGTGTTTCTTCGTTACAAATTTTAGATATAAAATTTTTTAATTCGCTATCGCCAACAGTTCAAAAGATTCAGAATTGAAAAAGAATAGAGTATTTAGTAAGAAATATGAGCTGATTTTTTTGATTATGTTTCGAATTAAGCCTTCGAATATTTCCCGTAATCCGGTCAGTTCTGATCAATAAGAAACTGCCTTAAAGCAGAGAAAATGTATCAAGTTTATCATTAAACCTTTTTTGGGATTTTTATATGTATCTTTAAATGATTTTATAGTTTTTAATGGCAAATAAGTGGTTAAATAAAAAAAAACACAAAAAATAAAATAAACAAAAAAATGCTTAAAATAAATAAAATACTTTATTTGATTATTTAAAATTAAAAAAAAAAAAAACATTTAAAAGAAGTACAATAAAAGAGAATTAGTTTAAACACAGAAATAAAATAAACTTCAATTAGACGAAAAAAAAGAAAAATAAAGTAAACTAAATGAAATTTAAAAAATAAAAAACAGGAAAATAACTTAACTTAAAATAATATGAAACCAAATAAAATAAACTTAATTAATAAAATAAAATCAGAAAAAATAAATAACCTTAAATGAAATAATTAAATTAAAATAAAATACAATAAGATAAAATAAAGTAAAACTAATTAAAATAAAATTAAATAATATTAAATTAAATTTCATTAAATTAAAATACAAAAAATAAATTAAATAATTTAAAATTAAATAAATTAGTAAATTGAAATTAAATAAAAGCACATATTAAACAAAATATAATAAACGTAATTAAAAAAATAATAATAATAAAATAAAGAAATATAAAATAAGAATAAATAAAGTAATGTAAAAAAAAAATAAAATAAATTTAAATATAAAATAACATAATAAAAGATAAAATAAGTTAAATTAAAATAAAATAAATTAAATTAAATTAAATTAATTAAATTAAATTAAACAAAATGAAAAATAGAAATAAAATTAAATTAAATTAAATAATATTAAGTAAAATTTCAGTAAACTAAAATATAAGTAAAATATATTATTTAAAATAAATAAAATAAAATAATATAAAATAAAATTTAAATAACATTAAATTAACCAAAATGAAACAAAATTAAATAAAATAAAACAAAATAAAATTATATAAAATTAAATTAAATTAAACATAATGAAAAAAATTATATGAGACAAAGTAAAATAAAATAAAAATTATATTAAAGTCAAAATAAAGTTAGAAATAAAAGAAAACAAAATAAAGTTAAGTAAAATAAAACAATATAAAAAATAAAAGTTATAATAAAAAATAAAATAATAATAAAAAATTTAAAATAAAATGATACAAAATAAAATAAAGTTCTATAATTTTTGCTATACGTTTTTAGTGAGCTAAAGGCCTAGTTTGATCTCAGTCATAAGAAGTCTGATTGGAAGATGTGGTGACCTCCGAAACAGCTATACCTTCTATTATATACAAAAATATTAAAAACATACAAACAAATAAGGCTTTTAGCAAAATTAATAGTAAGACTTTAAAAACATTTATAATATTATATAAAATCAAATAAATAATTAAAAATATTAAATAACTAAATTTAAAAAGATTAAGTAAAATAAGACAAAGTAAAGCAAAATATAAATTGAAATAATATAATATATAATATAAAATATATATAATTTACAAGAAAATAGTATAAAACCAAATAAAATAGAATAAATTTAAAATTTCAAATAGATAAAAAGTGAATTTAAATAAAATAAATTCATATTTAAATTTTTCTCTTACTAAACTTACTTTATTGGCTACGGTATGACTTTGAAAAGTTTTCATTCGTTTTATTAATGTGCGCATATATTAACATATAATCAATCATTGAGAAAATGTGTGTGCATACATATATACAAAACTTTGAGTGATAAGGTTTTTTAAACACCACTTTTTATCAGCATTATTTGAATTTTTGCAAATTTTTACTCTTTCGCAATTATTAGTATAATTATTGTGTTTCGGCATATTTAAGTATGTAAATTAATTGATGGAAATATTGGTGTCGGCAGTAGCTGTAAAGTATTTGTTCGTTGAAGCGATTAAATATTTCAGATTATGCTTGTTGCATAATTGTATTAAAAATTCCAAGCAATTATCAGGGTCTCACTTTCAAATGGAATGATGCAATATTTTTTATATGGAATCTTAACTATAAAAATTTGTTATTGTTTTAGTTTTTATGCATACGATAATTTTAATATTAATTCGAAAATATTTTCCAAAATAATGCCACTTTGATTTATACACTAATATCTAATGAATAAAGTTCTGTAAGCACTAAAAGTTACAAAAACCTAAACATGAAAGGTCTACTTTCTACTATATTCCACATGAGCTTTTTAAAAACACTCTTTTCGTACTGGCGTACTCGTAGTTATGTGATTATGTAAAATGTTTATTAATTTTATCTTATCATAATTTCAATTGGCTCTTTATGCTCGTGTTTTATGATGTTGTAAGTTAAACAACTACAAATATGTATCTCTGCAAAGTATATTTGTATGTCATAAAACATTTTCGAGTGAAAAAATCATCTAGCATCTTTGTTTGCTCTGAAGGAAAAAAAAAACAATTTGTTGAGATCATTTTATTGTCGCCGCCGAGAACACAGACGCACAGACAGATGTACATACACATGCAAACAATACAAATTTCGACAAATTCCATTTCAATTTCAATTAGAAAACACTTGACAAAATTCCTTATAAATGACTTGTAAACCAAGAAACAGCCAGTTACTGCATAATTTTTTTTGTTTCTTTTTTTAATTGCTCGCAGCTTGGTTGCGCATCTGTGGCAATCTATGTTTTAAGTGAACCAACGTAATCGTATGTATATATGTAAGTATGTATATACGTTTTATTAGTAAAGATGTTGACAGCGTTAGCGGCTGCTTTTCAGCTTGAGGAAAATGTGAAAAAAAATGAGTATACTTATAACGAGTATGTACATACCTAAAAATGTACCCGTATGTATATTTGAATACTTTTTTACAAACATATATGTTGTGACAATTGCCGCAGCATCTTAAGTAGTACTAGAAGCAGTAATTTATATGACTTGCTCTTTGAATAATAATTATATAAGCGCAAATGGTTTCGGCTTACATTTTTTTTTCGTTTTCTTCAAGCATAACACTTTCAACGCTGTTTTCCTATCAGCTAAAATGGAGACACTTTTAATTACAAGCGTTCTTCCGCCAACGAAAAATCCAGATAGAGAGAGAGAGAGAGAGAGATAGCACATGTTGTAAGGGAAATAGTGCTATTTTCTGTGTAGAAACTAGTATTGATAATAACATTTAAAAATATAGTTTTTTTTTCTTATTTATAGTGCTTATGATGCAATGACATGAAAAAAATATTTAGATTGCGTCCAAATGATATTTAGAGCAGTAGGCAAGGCTAATTTGGCATTTTGGTGACTTCAAATATACATATATACATATGTGTAATAGTCAAATGTATGAATGAGTAAATTAGAATATTATGATTCTGGTTGTTTTTGTGGTTTGCGGCATATTTCGCTTGTATGTATGTATGTTTGTATGCATGTTTATTTAAAGTGTTATGATTCCATTGTGGTGTTGATTTTGTGATTCACACACGCTCTGTGTAGATTAATTTATTGCAAATGAGTGTGCATATGTGTATGTACATATGTATGTTTTGTGCACCATATGTTGCGCTTGCGTGCCTTTCATTCATTATCAGCAAATTTAGCTCAATGAACGTCATACGTTAGAGTGACATAAATAATTAAATGCGTACATATAAACAAACGTATGCTCATAAATACACGTATATAAGCACCGAATTACCTTTTTTTGGATTATAGAGATACATGTATTCATGTAAGCATATATATGTATATACATACATACAAATGTATGTTCGTTTTGTTCGCTAAATAATTTTTAATTAGAATTGGCGCAAAAATTAGATACAAACGTTTTTCATTCATAGTTGCCTCATTGAATTCGTATCTACATATTAACGTGTATCTATATGTACTGCACATATGTACATTTATTGCATATAAACTGTCAGTGAGTTCCGTTTAATGAATGAATCGTGAACTAAAGGAAATGAAAAGCATTTAATGATGTGAAAATTATCATCGGAAGACCCAAAATGCGAAAGCACCATACTTATGTATATATACACATTCACCAGCACAGAATTATCGCAGTTGCGAAATATCAACAACAAATATGCCCAAACGGAAGATGAACAAAAGCGCAAGTGACAAATGTGTCACTCACCGCACACACATACACACACACACACTCTGCAACTCTCATACTGCTGCTAACGGTGGTCATCGAGAGTCGTTCACCGTTCTCGTTATTATCGTCGTTGTCTCGGCTTTTAATTTAATCAATTAAATGTTAATTATACGACGTGCTGAACGCCTGCAGCGGTGTGATTAGACGGTTGACTAGGCAAATGAGGAGGCAGAACTACTTTAGCACAAACAATGCATTTATGAAAGTGTGGTAATTTTTTGAAACCTGTTTTATTAAATGGCTTGTAATTAAAATTGTTTATGAATTACGGTTACAGCAGAATAATTGTATTACAAATGTCATAACTATTGTGTAATAATGATAAACCGTAATTCACAAAGCGTAAATAAAAGAAAATAACAAATAAAAAAATAAAATGGGGAAAAATTAAGTTATATATTTATAACATAAAATAAAATAAAATGAAATAAAATAAAATAAAATAAAATAAAATAAAATAAAATAAAATAAAATAAAATAAAATAAAATAAAATAAAATAAAATAAAATAAAATAAAATAAAATAAAATAAAATTAAATTAAATTAAATTAAATTGAAGTAAACAAAATTCAATAAAATAAAATACAACACAATAAAATAAGAAAAAATTAGTTATAATTAAGTAAATCAAAATGAGATAAAATTAAAATAAAAACTAAATGAAATAAAGCAAATTAAAATTCAATCAAATTAAATTAAACAAGTAAAATAAAATAAAACAAAATAATATAATATAAAATTAAATGAAATGAAATAAAGTATAATAAATAAAAACAAAAAAAGCATTAAATAATATTTGGCTGCAAAATTTATTTGCCCGAGTAGAGTTAGAGTTTAAAGTGGTTTTGCTTGTGGATTTTAAATAATTAAATATGCAAATAGAAAAAAAGTTTGTTAAAAAATATTAAAGAAATGTCATAAATTGTGTCAATGCACATATGTATATACGTTAATAAACATATGTTTTTATTTCCTTAATTGAGCAAAACCGTAATTAATTATTTAAATTAATAGCTCAATTCAAAACTGGTTCAAGACAAATAATTGTGGTAGATATAATAAAATATAGTAGTATTTTCGGAAAAAATCTAAATATTGCTGCTTATAATTTCGTAGTAGAAAATGCAAACAAAGGCATAGTTTTCTTAATTTTGAGATTTGTGTGTCAAGAAATAAAAAAAACTATAAATAAAAAAAAATTAAATTATAAAAATATAAAAAAACAAAAAAATTAAAAATAATAATATCAAAATATAAAAAAAAAAAATGCAGTAACCTTATTTTATTTATACTCTCATTTACATATATGTAAATGTATGTACATAGTTATTTATTATAAAAATTTATATTATTAAGATATTTAGAGACACATTTTTGAAAGCTCTTTGAAAGTACAATAATAAATAAAAAACACTCGTTTATAGTAAACTGAAGAACTAATTAAATTTGTATATCTACCATTCTCTCTCTCTTTCTCTTTGCAGCCCCTTCTTTTGTGCGAATAGCAACTTGAGTGCCACTGAATACTAAAATAAGATGCTTCAACAACCTCCAGCACCATATACATAAATACATACATACAATATAAGCCACACGTCAAATACATATCTACAAACATTTATATACAAAAAAAATGTTACACAAACGCACACAAAAGTAATAATACACACATACAAAAACGATAAACACCTACACACGCGTACACAAAATTCTCAATCATTTGTATACAGACACATATGCATACAAGTACATGAGATGAGATTCCTTTGCGAGCCAGCCATACTATGTATATCAGTGTGTTACAGCGGCGATCTCCATGCAATTTTTTTTTCTTCAAATGGCAAATTGTTTTTTAATCAGGAAAAAATTGTAAAATTTGCCAGTAAAGAGGCATGTTGTGACACACCTAAGGAAAAGTGCTTGAAAAATTGTTTAAATAAGTTCGATTCAAAAAAAAAAAAAAATTATAAATAAAAAATGAGACACATTTAAGAAACCGCATAATAGCATGTATGTATACAAATGTTTTATCTAAAAGCTAAGCAATAACTATAGACAAATAATGTAAAACTAAACAGAAAAAAAAAACAAAAAAAGCAAAGTCTACAAAATATCGAAAACAAACAGAACTGCAACAACAATACACCATTAAAAAATAATGCCTATACAAATCAAAAATTTTGAAAAAAAAAACGTAAAGTTAACATTCTTAAAAAACGGATAAAGAGACAAATCATAAGTATAAAGTTTAAATATTTTTCAAGAATTTATTTTTTTTACACTTAAAAGGAAAGAGAAATATTTTAGACGTAAATATTAAAAGAGCGATGAAATTATGAATTAGTCTTTTGCTAATGACGAGTGTAAAGAAGAAGGATAACGAGAAAAAAAAAATAAATACATAAACTGCACATTTTCATATACATACATTTACACAAAACAAAACAAAAAAAAAAAAACAAAAAAATTAAAAAATGAAAAATTGAAAACTACAAATCAAAATGAGAATTCAATTTTTTATACATATACGAGTACATATTAAATTTTACATAAATAAGAGTTGTGATCATTGATTAAGAAATTTTTACTAATTACTATTGATACTGCTAGCAATTGAAAAACAAATGCATGTCAGATAAACGAAAGAAAAAATTTAAAGTAAAAATCATAAAGACCATTTGCATAGTTATGATGATAATGATAATGATGATAATAATTATAATAAAATAAAAACATTTATACGCAGCGCATAACAACAACGCTGATACTACTTTGACAGAGAGAAACGCATACTGCTTCTACAAACAAACAAACAAACAACAAAACTGCTTACTGAAATTTTTAATTTAAATTAATTTAATTATTTTTATTTAATTTTTCATATCGATAAGTGATTTTATTTAAATTAATTCCTTTTATAATTCAAACAAAAGAATTAACTGCATATTTAATTTTAGCGCAATTTTTTAATATTTTTTTTTATAAAATTTAATATGGTATAAGTGAATTCGACTAAATTTTTTCCTTTTGATCGTATATACCCTAAAAATAAGTTAAAAATTATTTTTTTTTTGCTAATAGCCTTTAAGTGCTTTTCAAATAATATACATATGTATATGTACATACATTTGTATGTATTTACTTTAAAAATTTATTTTACTTGTCTAGTTATAATTTCAATTATTTGATGGCAAATAAAGTAAATTAATATAAAAAATTAAAGACTCAAAAGCAATACAAATAAATATATGTATGTATAGAGAAGTTGCGATAGATAACAAAAAATGTGTGTTGATGAATACATACTCGTATGTATGTATGCATGTACCAAGCCGGCAATGGGAAGAGTTTGTTTGGTTTGATTACAACTGGCTTTTTGGCAAACGAATTTTGCTGTGAAGTGAGTTAAATTGAGATCTGCTATTTTTTGTTAATAGTTTATTGATAAATTACCTTTTAAATATACACGCATATATTTAGGAAAAATAATATTAAGTTAATTATTATGAAAGACGAACATTTGAATAAAGAAGAACAACTGAATTTCAATTTAAACAAACAAATATTGGTTTTATTTCCACCGCCGCTGGTTGATAGCATAAACTGGCAAGCACAAATCACGTTTTCTTTACTTTTAGTTCCGTTATTTGATGAAAAAATACACTGAAAATTTGTTAAATTGAAAATAAAACGAAACCACGGTACATATTTTCAAAAGTACAGTACTGTATTTTGACATCTGTCGAACGAAACTTGTTTTGTTTAAGTTAAAAGACAATTATATATGAAAATGGATCCCTTCACAGTCGCAGAATGAGTTAAAAATGTGAGAACTTACTTTAAAAACGGTGTCTCAAATGTGGCCAAAATAAAAAAAATAAAATAACATGAAATAAAATAAAATAAAATAAAATAAAATAAAATAAAATAAAATAAAATAAAATAAAATAAAATAAAATAAAATAAAATAAAATAAAATAAAATAAAATAAAAATTAAGTAAAATGAACGAAAATAAAATAAATTAAAATTTATTAAAACAAATCCATTAAAAAAAAACAAAATTATAAAATTAACTAAAACAAAATTATATAAAATAAAAATAAAAATAAATAAAATAAAATAATATAAATCAAAATAAAATAAAAAAACTAAATAAAATTTAAGTTGGTTGTTTTGCTCGTCCCAGTGTAACCGAAGACCCGAGTGTATCTATTTCTCGTCATCCTCAAGAACTGGGACTTTCTTGTGGCACATAATGGCGTATTTTGCCCTTCGACTTACACCAATATCCATTATAAGTCGAGCTCACACAACAACTGAAGGCAGCTGACCATTCACAATGCGGTACTCTCATCTATTGGAGACTTGAACAACCAGCAGTATTTCACTCCAGGGATACGTAAATAGCCAAAATGGTCTCATTTTGGACTTAAAACATTAAAGGAAGGTCATAACACCAAAAAAAAAAAAAACTTATTGTCTGGTGCGCTCTTTGATCCGAAAGTGTGATTGAACCTTATTTCTGCAAAAGGCAATATGGTGACTCTCAATTTGAAGCGTCATGGTCTTATGACAACCTACTTTTTTGGCTTGCAATTAAATAATACGACTGGTATGTGGTTTCAAAAGGATAATAACTCTTGAGCACTTGAAAATCAACATTCGTCAATTTATGACTGAGACACCGCGCAATACGTTCAAACTCTATAAAAAAAGGAGTCCATCAACCCTTGGACATTGCGGCCGCCTATTCCAGCTAAAGGCACTTCTATAAGATTTTTTCTGCCAACTTTTACCTATTCCTAGATTGTCCAAGTTTTTCCAACTAATGTTGTTGTTTGCTAAGACTAGTTAAGATCCGGTAACTGTGTATTATCAGAAGATTGAGGTGAGCAGAATATGAGTTAGGGCATAATCACTTTATGTGAATCGTATTATTTGAGGTGTATCAAATAATGGGTGTTACGAGCATTACGGCACCTCCACGAATTAACAACAGCGCACCAGTTGTCTCTTCTTCTAGCAGTCCACAGTGTCGCTTGGTTCGTTGAACTACTCGTATGTCATTATCATCGTATATCTTTTTGGTTCGTAGATAGACGAAATTATCTACGACCCAAAAGTTATGATTGCCAACAGTGACATGGTCACCAAAGCACAAGTGCGCTGACGGTTTTTTGTTGACAAGAGAAATTTGTCTTGTTCCAAGCATAATTCATATCTCAGTTTTCGAAACCTATGAAAAGGTCGTCATCGGAATACCCCAGTAGGTGTGCACTTCCATAGAATATTATACCTTTTCTATTTAGCTCTGGAGTTCTGGCTCGAAAAGGGTCACCTTTTATGAAACCTGATTTATATAGAGAGGTTCTTTCAGATCCTGACTTCTTCCTCTTATGGATTGTACAAATCACACTCAGGTTCTGTCATCTTCAAATATTTTATTAGTCTTATTGTAGTAATATTTAAATGACATAAGGATAGCATTGTCAATCTTGAGCAAGCTGAATAGACTTCAACAAATAATTTAAGAACAATCATTACTCACTGTATTTAATTACTGCCTCTGCGGAAAGCTAGGATTCCTCACGAAAATACTTCTATGGTCTTTGGAAGTGAAGCTTCTTACGCAAACTTGCTTTATGCCTTGCTGAGTACTCTTCTGAATGCCTGCAATCAATTTTAAGACTAGAAGTAATTCAAGCAAACTCAAAGATTAATTTAAATATATGAACCACCAAGTCGCTCATCATACCGGTCCTACTATATGGCTCAGAAGCGTGGGCGATATCTAGCAGTCTTTGATGGAAAAGTTTTGGGAACGATTTATGGTCCTTTGTGCATTGGCAACGGCGAACATCGCAGACGATGGAACGATTAGCTGTACGAGCTATTCGAGGATATTGACGTTGTTCAGCAAATGATGAGACAGCGGCTACGCTGGATGGGTCATGCCGTCCGAATGGATGAAAGCACTCCAGCCTTTAAAGTATTCGATAAAGTACCCACTAGTGGAAGCAGAAAAAGAGGACCACCACTCCGTTGGAAGGATCAGGTGGAGAGTGATCTGTCTTTACAGGGTATTTCCAACTGACGCTAGGTAGTGAAAAGAAGAGAAGAATGGCGCGCTAAGATTTTTTCGGCTATAATCGCGTAAGCGGTGCCAACGCCAATAAAGAAGAAGAAACTGCACCAAACCTACTCTGAATTGAGTTGAGTGTTCAGAACGCTACTCCCCCGACCACTTTATCGCTTTTATTTAGCCATCTATACCATTGGCCGTTCAGCACCTCAGGAAGCTTTATTTTCAAATAAATTGAAGAAAAACATTATGAGCATTTTCTATAGATTTAATTTTATATAAATTGTATTTTATTTATGTATTTCCGAAAGTTAATCGACGCCCTCGCAGCCACTGAGTAATCTAATATTTTGTTTACCTTCGCGCGCCGCGTGTGCCTGAACACGTTGTGCACTTCAATTGTTATCTTCAAAGTGAAGGAAAAATCATATAAAAAATTATTAAAAAAGTGTGTGCAACATTCAGCGGCAAGCATGCGCCGTCGCTCACCCAGACAAAATAATAAAAATTCACTCTGATAAAGGTGCGGGCGGTGCATGTAAAGCGTTTCAAAGAAAGAAATGTGTAAATTTGTATGCACATAAATTCGTTTAAATACATATTTCTGATTTTATCTCGCCCAAACGTTGGGGCAATGCATCACAATGCGATATCTGATCGTAACAAATATGCCTCAGCAGTGTATGGACATCGTGTTGGAGGAGTAGGGAAGGTGGCACACGGCGCACAACCAAACGGGATCACCTATCAAGTGTACATTTACAAAGATATCAAAATACGAATGATCATTTGGTTGTTCAAAGTCTTTTATAAGCCTGATGTGTATGTATTTATATATATACAATATATAGGTATGTGCTTACGTTGAAAGGCATAAGTTTATCTGTTTGTATAGTTCTCTATATGTTTATTTTGTTTGTGGTTGATGTTGACTTGGCGTTTCATCTTCCTGGCGACCACGACAGCACGTAATCCATATCAAAATTCATAATCCAGTCCAAATGCGGCAATGAAGGCTCGCCCAACGTCTGAGGATATTTTTCCGCATTGTATTGCATTTGGTTGCACACGCTCTAAAAAGAAGAAAGTAAAAAACATATTTAGTGCCATTAAAGACGTAAGTACTCGCAATATAGATACAATTTTTTATTTAATTCTTTTGGTCTTTAACTTGGTCGCGCTTCTATTTACTGGACCGCCTTTATTTACTTTATTTAATTTTTTTGTAAACAAATTGCTTTAGATAAATATTTACTTATATGCTATGTAAAAGAGTATGCGTGTGGTAAGGGTTACCCTTAATATA